TCAGGATGTAACTTGAGAAAGTCAGTGAAGTGGCTGCAATGGAGTAGATGATGCGCTTTGTCAGCCGGTGAGAATCAAAATCAGGCAAAGGCTTGCACTGACAACGAATTTTCAATTATCTTCTTTGTTGAGTCGCAGTTAATAGCCTAAATGAGAAATACATGGTGTGGCATTGGTGTTAAGCGCAAGATGATTTTGCGATTACCGAATCAAAGTGGTGAGTTGCTTCTTCTAAGCAAGCTGGACCACATACCAGGCCAAAAAGCATCGTTGAGCAGAGTTCACAAACACGTGACCTAAGCCATCGCGATCTTGTCTTGCTGGTGGCATTGCACCTGGGTAATATAATGGCTTGTATACAACTGACTCGGGTTTATTCTTCCATTTCCATTCAGCTTCCCGCCTGAAAATGTTCAATTCTATTCTTTTCCGACGGAGTGTTAGATCTAGTTACTCGATTATGAGTTCTTTTTCATTAGTTTTCGATATAATCTTTGATTCTAATTCTGATCTTTTTCGTTTGGGTGTTTTCTTATCTTGATCGACTTCACTATTGTGTTTCGCTGTGTCCCGTAATGGAACCGCAACTCCAAAAGATATCGGTTAGTTTTTGTTTACATGTTTTCCTACAGCATGATTTAGATTTATCTCAACTACTTCATTACTAGTTGTTATTGGTTTAATTACTAGCTCACCACATGATCTTACCCAATCCATACCAAAAATTGGATCTATCTCCCTTTCACCAATTGAAATATAACACCACCCAAACTTAATGCTGGACCATTATTGAGTTTATACGCTTCACACTTCCTGGGGATACTACCGAGCATCAGCTTTCGGCTCACAGAGTGTACGTGTACTTGATAGCAATGACTTGCATCCGCTAACCCTTCACTTACTAGGCTTGCTGAGCATCCAGTATCAATCATCCCATACCTGATGATATCACTGCTCTCGGTTGATCTGAGTGTAACAGAGAGATGACGGCTCTCATTAGTATCTAGCATACTCACGATTACATTATTATTGCTGTCGCTACTACTGGGCTGACTGGGGCAATCCTAAGCTACATGGCCACGACCACTACAACAGGAACATCTCACATCTCAAGAGTTATCAGTCTTATAAATAGTTCTGTTCCGGAAACCAAAGCGACCTTTGCCCTTCCAAGTCCGGCCCTTTCCTTTGAAGCCCTTTCCTTTGCCTTTCCCCTTTCCTTTCCCTTTTGCAGAAGGGTAGGAAGGATAAGCTGAAACAGCAGCTATGGTTGCTGACTCATCAATCTTAACAGTCTTAGCCAATCTGACGCAGCCCTCTACAATATCACCACGAGACTCCCAAGGAGTCTTCCATTGACTCTTCAGGGCTGGCAACCCTGGAATATCACTCGGCAAACCTCCCCAGAACATAAGGCAAGCTGCTGAGTACATCCATGTTTGGTCGAGCTTGATATCCGATGGTCTCGATAATGATACCAAGCGCTGTAGCTCGGTAAGGAACTCAGCTAGAGATTCGTTAGGATGAAGCTTACGATTGATGAACTGATGCCAGCTCTTGGATAGATCCATACCATACCTATCTATCAGCACCATTCGGGCTTTACGTCGTAAAGTTTACGATAGAGTTTGTCATCCTCGACTACAGTAACGTGTGATGAGGGACAGACGTTGGCCTCGATTGTCGTATAAGCACCACCTTGGGGATTGAGGCGCAACAAGGCGAACTTCTTACCGGGAGGGACACGGTTACATAGCATACCCAAGGTTGAATCAAATCTGGTTAGCCAAGGCACAGGGTCTTCTTTGAGTGGGAAAGAAGTTCTTTTCCATTATGGGGAGAAGGCATTATAAAGAATGTTCTCAAAGTGTCACCTATAACCGATGTGATTGTTGATGATGGACTGGAAGTAGTAGTTGTAGTAGTAGTGAGGGCAGTAGTAGTCTTGGTCTGGCTACTTTCAGCAGCATTGTCTTTGGCAGGCTGTTCTTGACCGGTATTAGAGCACCTATACCATGGCAAACCAGTTCTTATAGTGGATCCTGCCTAGCGACATGTATGCAGACCCTGCCCGATAACACGCATCAGCTAGCCGGAAACGGTTGCGGAAACTTGAGTGGATCCAGCTATGCGGGTCCTACCCGATAACTCGCAACGATACCTGGCGGAACTAATAATTGGCGATCACCAGGGTGGTTCCAGCTTCAGTGACTGAAGTTCAGTCAACAGCGACGGATACGACTACGCTGGTGCTCACTAAGCCCCTCATTTACCCAGGGTATAATAATTCACTATCGATGCCAGGCCCGTCTTCCACTCAAAAAGACTTGAAACGAAGGTAGCCTGTTTTCTGATAGAAAACATTTTACGGTGACGATGGTTCACTGCCCGAATCGATGCCAGATCCGCTGAACATTGTCCAGTAGACAGAGCCGGAATCACAGCATCTAGGATGGAAGCCAATCGCCGATGAAGAGCCCCGACCACACATTCGAAACACGTCTATGAACGAGGCCCCTTATAAGAGAAGTACTAGACAAACTAAAAAACGCACGAGACTATTCATGGTCTAGAAGTACATGTAGTTGCAAGTGGTTCAGTGCCATCGAAATAGTATACCATAAATTATGATTCATAATATAAGGCGAGTGAGGATATAGGTTGCGCTGTCCCCTCTGAGACTGTGCGATCTATCGCCGGGGCTAACGCGTATTGCAGCGCATCGCGCGATTAGACAACGTTGTTGCTACAAGTTGTAAGACTTCAGAGCGGTTCACGCATTCATGGTCCAGCCCACATTACTATATTATAGTAACTATAACTGTTACGCTGGCGCAATTCTCAGAGAATCATTATCTGATTGTGCTAAGAATATCAGTAAACCTCGCTGATATCGGCGCTACCCCAGGCGTAACGCGAATCAGTGTCCGGCTCACGTTTCGCACGGTTTATGTGTGCAGAAGAGACAGCCCGGTGTCAGTTGTGATTCCAGTTCTTTCCGCGATACAGTGTGATTTTCTATTTCCCCATACCGACTTACCTCCATCCATCGATCTGCGGCTTTGAGCAGAATGTTACAGCATGAGACCATGATGTAACAGAGACTTATTGAAAAACCTCAGGCATGTGGAAAATACACTTCAATTCTTTGTTTGATACATATCCAACACCGATCATCCATACTTGATACTTTATTATCATCCGTTATAGCTCACTCACGAATCCGCATAACTATGTCTAACTCCTTATAAGCCATGAATTAGTTTGTTCGACTCCGAACAACACCCTGACGAACGAATTGCCTATAACAGGAAGCTTCCACAGACGAGTTCAAGCATAAAAACTTGTTTCCTGGTATAGCGATGGATTCCTTCCTGTGAAAAGTATCTCAGAGGAACTTGGTATAGCAAGCATGTTTCATGCCAACAAGCTCCATCCACTGCAAGAAATGTTCACTAAATTAACAACTATAACCTGAGATAATCCCATCATGCGTGAAAGCTCATCGTTACTTGAGGCTCGTTCAGTTACTGAACACCGTCCGAAAATATTTTCCATATCGAAACTCTTTTCAGAGCAACCCAATCCAATTGGGGCCCAACTGTTGGGCCAACCATCGCCATTTCTTTCACGAACATTAACATCCCGAATTCCTCCTGCCAGCCCTCATTGGTATACGAAGACTCCAACAGGCGGGAACGAATCGTCTAACATAACTCGATCGGGAATCTCATCGGTCACTAAAAACTCACTCGCAATGGACGTTGGCCAAACGAAGCATCCGTCGGCTCGCTCGAGCGCTGTCCGTTCCATGATGACTATCAGAAGCGTAATACACACACGTGATACCCGCCTGAATCGATAAGGTTGTGGCGCGTGAAGCAACCACACAACAAACCTGCAGAATTAATTTGGTGCATTCGTGACAGGGGAAAAGAGTGGTATATATCGCACAGTCTCGAATATCGTGTTGGTTTTTATTCATTATTGCGTTCATCTCGGCGTGGCAGACGAACCAGTACCTACCCAGAACAGTGGCACTTACGAGATCCTCGGTTCGATTTCAAACGAACAATATCATTACTGCATTTCAATGGTCGTGAAAGGGCATTATAAGTGTGGAACGCATAATCGCTTCCGCAATTCATTATCACACGTGAAGTGATATGGTACCATAGTTCGGAATATATTTCGGATCTTCTCGGCTGAACTCCACAACATTCTGAAAATCGCTAAAGGAGTGAATGTAAAAGCGTACGAAAACCACTAAAACATTTCTCATGCTGCATACTTGATACTTGATGGTTTCCTATCCTGATTCTGAGTTCTGCGATCTTTTTAATTCTACACAGCGACTCCCAGTTGAATTGCCACCATGGGAATCGCGAACTGTGGGAATTTCCCACAGTTTTCTATCAGTATATTCGGATTTCAAGCCAAGCTTGGCCCCCACGAAACTATTCTCCGTCGTTGACACAAAATGCCGCCCAAATTACCATCGGAGCAGAGTTACAACGTCTTATACGAAATACACTATGAGTAATCGGCGATTACTAATCGCCGGGGTATTATTATCATAATCCCCTTCAATCGAGAACTCGGGAGTAGCCACGTCCACAGTCCCTCAGGAAGCACACCAATGATGCAATATACCAAGGAGTCCTCGGCAACTTGCCGACGGCAAGGACAGGCTAATTCTGATAGCATATACATGCATGCCCTCTAGCAGCGCTAGGATATACGTTCAGTTCTCTCGGCTGAACTCGTATCCCTAGTCTCGCTATACATAGCGAGAATTCAGACACGACTCAAGATAAAATTCCCTTATTGTCATCAACACGCGTAGCTGACCATGTGCACATCTTTCAACACTGCTCAACCCCTGCGTCCCCATACTTCGAATCGATCGGCTTATCCCCCTTCTTTCCCCAGTTCAACAAAGCATCGTTATCGATCTCACCCATCGATGGGAAGCCATTGTACCTGACGACACTCTTCATGTCTCTATAATCACTTAGAGAAGAGAAAACTAAGAAGCTGACTCGAAAGTTCATGACAATCATCAGCTATTCCTACCAAGGCTCTGCTGAACTAAGATCGATCAAGTTTACATTGAAACAAGATGAAGTATAAAGTTGAATCATCAGGACAAGTGTCGAAGGAAAATTTGCACGAAGTCGACTACGTCTGTTGGTAACAATATAAGGATTCTGAAGAGAATTTGAGAAATTCTTAGAGGAAACCTGTGGGAGGCACCTGTGTCACTAACTCCTTACTACTCCTTACTAAAACATGACACCAATACCATCACCACAACTGAATGGAGGGGCATCGGAACCTCCTCATGCGGGAACAAGTCGTGAAATTCC